GATGCGAAGGGCGGAGGAGCGTCGCCGCTAGGGGGCGGGGCTGGGCCGCGCCAGGCCCCAGCCCCAGCTCAGGGCCAGCCCTAGTCCTGCCTAAAGCTGCTGGCTGCAGACCGTGGGCGGGCAGACTGGAGACATATAGCCTGGCCCGCAGGGGTATGTTTGGGGAGCAAAGCCCCTTGCAGCTTCGAGGCCCTGAAACTGCACAAGGCGTTCGAGGGGACTGGGAGCAGGGTTAAGGAGGAGTTTGGTGATTTTTTTTTTTTTTTAAGTGTGAGCCATGCAACCCAAGCTTATTTAAAAAGACCTCAAAACCTGCAGTTTAATTATAAATTCTCACAGAGCAGCCATAATCAAGAGCTGTGTGGCCTTTGAGTCACCTCAGAAATGTGTGTCATGATCTCAGTTGTGTCTTTTAACACTGCTCACTCTCCGGGGTATTACCTGCCTCTTGTCCCAGGCTCAGGGGTCAGTGCCTTCCTCTTAACTCCTCTCACTCCTCCCCTTTGTCAAGAACCGAAAGGAGAGCGGGCATGCTCCAGGGCAGTCAGGGCATGTTTGTGTGCCTGGTTTCCAGTCCAAGATTGGGAAGCTCCTTTCTGTTTGCTGTATGTGCCATCTGCAGAGTTCTTTTCCTCACAAAACATTTTCACTTTATTTTCAGCAGGTAAACATGAGCTCAGCTGAGAGGGATGCTTCTTAGAAGTGTAAAAAGAGACTTTGTACACATTTCTGTTCTTTTCAGCTGGGTTTATCACAGCTCTCTGCTTCACCTTAATTTTCTGTGCTTCCTCTTGTTGGAAGGAGACATTTGAATCTTAGCTTCCCTTTCAGCACTCCAGTGCCAGCTCTATCCACCACAGCGTGCTCTCCAGGCCTCAGCTGTGCTGAGCAGCGTCTCCGATGAGCGGAAGAAGGAGCCATTAGCATCTTCTTCTCAGCATCAGTTTGATTCACATCCAGCCGATCACCAGCCTGAGCAGGAACCTCAAGGCCCTCGCCCCAGGTAACTCACTAGCTATTTCTAGTGCTGTCCTGCCGATAGGCTTTGGTTTCCTGAAACTTGCATTGAAGCTTGGAGACAACGAGATCCAGAGTTAATGGGGCCTCAGACTGCAGCAGCTGGAGAGCTGATTTGCTGAAACAGTGCAAATTCCACTGTCCGGTGTGGAGACAGGATGGAATTTCCTTTCAAGAGGGAACCTCTCTGGTCTGCAAAGCACAAGCCTTGGCTTCTGGATTTTTGGGTAAATCCTCACAAAATATGGGCAATATTATCCATATGCCTGTAACTATAGAGTTGTCATTGGACAAACTTATAGTTTAGCTTGTTTTTTTAAAGGAAGGGGAAACTGAGGCTGATTGGTCTCCATATAGGCACCTAGATTGAGCCCTCTTGTGTTTTTCTCTTCTCTTGTGGCAAAGGTTCATTAAGAATCCTTTTCCTGGAAAAGGAAGGATTTTACAGGAGGAGGTGAGAATTACACTAGGCAGACCTCAAAAGCATGCCAGCATGCAGCAGTGGCAGTGAGTCAATGGCAGAGTCCAGGTTGCTGGTGTTTGATGGTAACATTCCCTCACTGTAACAATACCTTCTCATAGTTACACTGGCCAGGGCGGCCAGGAGTCTGAGGATTATGAGAGTGAGGAGCAGCTGCAGCGTCGAATCCTCACAGCAGCGCTGGAGTTTGTGCCTGAACATGGCTGGACTGCAGAAGCCATTGCAGAGGGAGCCAAGGTATGTGGGAGAGAAGGAACAAACCAGTTGAAAACTGGATGAAGCTGAAGTCCAGACAGCCAGGCCTGCATGCTTCCCCCACATACTCTTGGGTGATGCACCCCAGTCAGCAAATGGAGTGCTGCCAGCTACTACAGGATAACCCTGTCAGAATTAAACTGAGGCACAATGTAAAGTAGTGATCCTAAAGAGAGGAAAACATGTACAGGAAGTACTTTTTAATGCAGCGTTGCTTTGTTTAAATTCATATAACTTTGTTCACAAAAGAAATACAACACTTTTCCCAGCTGGATCCTGCTTAGCAGTGTATGACCTGGTCTCTGCTTCTCCCTTCTTACCTACAGACCCTGGGTCTCTCTGTTGCTGCAGCAGGGATGTTTCACAGTGATGGCAGTGACCTGATCCTGCACTTTGTGTCTGAGTGCAACACCAAGCTGTCTGAGCTGCTGGAGCAGGAACAAAAGCTAGTGCAGCTGGGCGAAGCTGAGTGAGTATTGGCTATGAAAAGACATCTTCCTTGGCAAACTCTGGGGACTGGATAGACAGAGAAGCCACCTGGGACACAGATACTTAAAGTTAAAAATTAATTTAGCCAAATAAAACCATCCTCAGAGAGTTGAGATACCAGAGGCATCAAGGATACATAATACTTCACATATCTACTGCTGGGGCAGGCAAGCAATTGATCTTTTGAGTTCAGAATTGAGTTTAATTTGGATGTTCTGCGCATTTGGGGTTTTTCCTAACCTTAGGAAGAAGCCTACAGATCAACTCCTGAAAGATGCTGTGGAAGCCAGACTGAGGATGCTGATTCCATATATTCAGAAATGGCCCCAGGTATAAAATGAATATCAAGATTGTCTCCTTTGTTGTGTATATTTTAAACACTCTGTGACCTTCAACATAGTCTCTCCACCAGCGTGGTTCAGGGTTGTAAATGAAACGCTCACTGGCTTTACATGACTTGCAGCTTTCAAGAAGAGAGCAGCCTTGGAAGGAAGCAGTTAGAGGTGTCCTTAGAACATTTCTTGCAGTTCTAGAAAGGCAAACTGCTCCGTTATTCACCATCTGAGATCCCAGAGGATGAGCCCTGTCTGCTCAGTCCTGTTGCAGTGTCACTGCAAGTCAGGCTTCTTGCAGTATTGTTCTGGCTGCACCACTATCACCTGGCACCTGGGAACACAGAACTTCTGCTTTGCTGCAGGAAACTGCCTGCCTTGCGTGCAAGTGACAAACCCTTGGCAATGTGAGAGCAGATCTGTGAACTGAGAGGGCTCCATGCTTCAAACTTCTGATTTAAGTCTCAAGCCGTTCTTTCCAGGGTGGGAAGGGAACTGAATTATGGCCACAGTAACAAGCAAAGAGTTCCGAACATAGGGCTGCAGAGACTGCTGCAAAGTCAGCATCTTGTCCAGAATCACTGGACAGCTGCATTCCTTACAGAGAAAGAAGACAGGATTCGTGGGTTTGTTCCAGATTAGCATAACTTGCCTTGTGAGGGATGTGGGTGGTTTAGGATTCTCCTGGTCTTGCGTTACTACGTTCAAAGGCTGTGGGATCCCAGTAGGGCCATTATGAGTGGCTGTTCTGCCCTTAGTGGCTGCTTTGAGTTCAAAGTCAAATTGAGAGAAATGAGAGATTTGACTCACTGCCCGTAGGGGCACAGTGCGAGTCAGCTCAGGCTGTGCTGTCCTGTGTTTCCATGCTTGGAGAGGCAGCTCGGGAGCGGCAACACAGTGGGGCTTCAGCTGAGCTGGGGGCATGGGGCTCCAGCACAGGCTAAGCCCTGAGCTCAGCTGCCACTTGTGTTCCCACGCATATTCCCCACAAATCCTGCAAGTTGGAAAGGTCAGTGCTAACTGAAAAGAGCTGGGAGGACTTGACACTGGGAGCTGGAGGCAAGTCAACAGCAGCAGGGCAAAGATAACAGCATTGTTGTTCTGCTTTAATGTTAGGTCTTTCTTCGTCTCTCCCATTATCTGTGTTTCCTTTGCAGGCTCTGAGCATCCTGTTGCTCCCGCGTAACATCCCTTCCAGCCTTAACCTCCTCACCAGCATGATCGATGATATCTGGCAGTATGCTGGAGACCAGTCCACAGATGTAAGTCCTTGTGCCTTGAAGACTGGCTGGTGTTTGCCCTCAGCACCTGAGCAAAATGATGGATTGAAGCAGGCATTGGGCCATGTCTTTCTTGAAACGATCCCATTGTTGAGTGAGGAAAACATTTTCAGAAGCACCCAAGGGTCCTTTCCAAAGAGTCTTAGGAGCCAATAGGACTAAATACAAATTAGTACCCATGAGATTAGTGCAAATTAAAGGCCCTACCTTCCTAGACAAAATTCTTGTGATGTTGATCTGTATTCAGTGCATGAGCAGTGTGTCTCTGTCACATGTCTCTTCCACCAGCAGTAGAATTTGCAGATTTGACTTGAAAACCTTTAAAGAATCTACCCAAAAATACCAGCAGGTTATTAAAGCTTTCATCTTTCTGGCAGGAAATAAAAGAAAATTATAACTTTAATTAAAGCAATTAATAAATTACTTTAATTCATATAGATGTAGGGAGAAATGGGAAAAGTTGAATGAACCATGTTAACAAAGTACTTTAATAAGCTTCTTTTATCTGTGTATAAAAGAGAAGCTACTGCAGTGAAAAATAAATAAGATGACAGAAAAATTAAAGGAATAAACCAGAAGAGACCTGAAAGACTGTGGCTGCATCAGGAACTGCAAGTCCCTTTTGGGTTATGGAAGTCCAACTGATGTGTCAGACGGTGTCTGCACTGAGCTGTTCCTAAAGTCTTCTCACAGATGCAGGGATTAGGAGAGGTTCTTTTGTTGGCGCCTTTGTGCCAGTTACTTGAGTTTCCTTTGGGAAGCTGTGGTGCTCAGCCCACTCCTCCTTTCCCAGTAAAGGGGTTTAGTGTCACTTGTGGTGGACCCCTCTTCACCACACCAGCAGCTTGATAGAGTATGCCAGTGCCTCAGAGACCCCTTTGGGTGGATTTTTCAGAGCAGGAGGAGAATCAACAGAAAGCGTTTGGTCTCAGGCACCTTAGAAATGCAGCTGCAAGTGGCAGCATCCCTTAAGTTTCTTCCTTTATTGTGGTTCAAGCAGTGCAGACCTTTTTATCCAGCTTGTTTTCAAAACCAAGGCCTGTGTTTTCATTTCTTTTATTGCTTTCTAGTCATGAATGGAAAAACCAGTATTTTTTTAGGTGATGGCAGCAAATGAAGTAGAAGCCTCATTTTTACATGTGTTTATATATGCCATCTGCCAGCAGTTCAAGTGCAACTGGAAAGACTGAAGAGTTGGAGTTCTTTCTGCCTCTTTGCATTGTGTAACCTGTTGTAACACATCCAGCGGCACTGCTGCCAGCAATGTGGTGATGTATTTAGTGAGTCAGCAGACAGTACTGGTATTTCAATGATAGGATTTGGGAAAGGTGTATCTCTGTGTGATGTCTTGCACAGTTCTGTCCCATTTGTTCCTTTTTTTCATGCTTGTATCTGGTGCAAACTGCAGCTCAGCACTCAGTATAGCTGTTTCTCACCTCAGATCTCTGCACTGCCTACTAGGCATCTGTAAAGCGAAGATGAGCACAGTGCACGCAGGGAAGGGAGGATTCCTTGCAGCCAGCAGTAGATGCTGGGGATCTTGTTCAGCAGTTTTAGATGCCGTACTTGACCTCTGTCTGGTGCCACAGGAGCAGCTGTGCTATCAGTTGTTTGTGTTGGCTGGTGGCCCACTGCATCACAGAGACGCAATTTAAGTGGGGAAGGAACGTGCAGTTGGAATGCTGTTTTCCTTTGCCATTCTCCAATCTGCTTTCGTGAGCTGTATCCTTGATCTGCATTCAGGTCACACCTTCCCCTCTCTTTCATTCCCTGCCATTGCAGTTTAACTGGTACACCCGTCGAGCTGTGCTCACTGGCATCTACAACACCACCGAACTGGTGATGCTGCAGGATTCATCCCCTGACTTTGAGGAGACTTGGCGCTTCCTGGAAGACAGAGTAGCTGATGCCATGAGCATGGGCAATGCAGCTGATCAGGTAATGTTGCGGGCAGGGTACACATGCAGCATCTCCCTTCTCCTCACATATTCCTGCAGACAGACCTGGCTTCCCAGTCACACAGACCATGCAGCTGCAGAGACCACCTCGCACTGATGCGTGGTTGCATAAATGCAGTTGGTTCAACACCAGTAAATGCAATAAATCCTCTAGTAAAATGGCATTTTCTAGTAAAATTACGTGTATTTTCCAGTAAAATTACATGCCTTCTTTGTCAGACTGGCCCTATGTTTCTGAGACATATATATTCCCAGGAAATGTCTTCCATGTTTCTTATCTCTGGCTATCACTTGTCTGCAGTGCTTGGCTTCTGTCAGAACCTTTTCCGTAGTAAATACAGTTTTATTGTGCATTACATCTCTGTGCTTGGTGGCCACAAGTGTAACTGCAAAAGGAAGCAAAAGGTGGTTGGTGTTATCCTTGTGTCTTCTAGGTACGGTCAACAGGAGAAGCAGTTGTCCAGGGCCTGATGGGAGCTGCACTTACTGTAAGTAATGCAGGGCTGTAAGGGCTGAATTTCAGCATGTTTTTCCTCCCAAATCTAGAATACAGCATGAAAATGAATAATCTTTCATAACTACTTGTGAGGATGGTTTTCCGGGTAGTTTGTTATTAGTTCACTGTTTTGGGATGAAATTACTTGTAATAGAGCATAAAAAATTAAGTCTGAAACTGCAGGGTGAGTTTTAGGGATGAGGGACAAGTGATCAGAATAAATACAACTGTTCTCCATCACTCCTCAAGAGGTCTCTTTCTCTCTCAGTCCTTGGCACTGGAGATCCTGATAGAAGGCCCATGCCCCCATGGACACTTGGGAGGTGGCATCTGTACCCAGGTCACAGTAGGGTGACTTCCCCACACTGTTCCAGTTGACTGCAATGTCCTTCCAAGAATCCTTTCACTTTTTGGTAGCATCCTGGACTGCTTTGTGTCCATGCAGAGGGAGCTGCTTTTCCTCTGGGATACGAAACAGTCCTTCTTGTACCCAGGAATGGTTTTGAAGGGCGTCAGGACCTCCCTGTGATTCTATTTTTGGACAACTCCCATTGCATTTAGCAGCAAAGTGATTTCCTTGTTATCAGAAATCCATTTTAATTTACCAGTACAAGACAAACAGGCTGGAACATAAACTAGAAATAATTTTTACTGTATGAAACAGTTCTCAAGAATTTCTCCCATCTCCTTCCCCCTGCAGTTATGGTGAAATCATTATTATCTTCAGTGTTTCCCAGTCTCTCCCTGCTTTCACACTTCCGTGTGCCAAAAGGACCCTCCACTAGAGACATCCCCAAGCTCTGTGTGTGCTCTTGTACATCAGCAGATCCACTGTGCATATGAACAGGAGGAACTGGGCTGCTTCTGATGGGGTGTGGGCTGCTTTTGATGGTGGGTGGGTTGCAGGCAGCTTGGTTTAGGGCAAAATTATCCCAGTACATTAATTGCTATGGGCCACAAGTCCTTAACAGAACTTCCCATGTCCAAGGGTGCTGCGCAGGAGGAGTGAGTGCACAGCTGGACAGGTACACTGAGCTCTCCAGGTCTCTGCAAAATGGACGCGAAGCTGAGCCCCTAAAAAGCTTAAATTCACTGTCAGAGTCTACATGGCCGCAAAAATAGAATCAGAATCAACAGACTGGTTTGTGTTGGAAAGGACCTTAGAGCTTATTCAGTTCCAACCCCTGCCATGGGCAGGGACACCTTCCACTAGAGCAGGTTGCTCCAAGCCCTGTGTCCAACCTGGCCTTGAACACTGCCAGGGATGGGGCAGCCACAGCTTCTCTGGGCAACCTGTGCCAGGGCTTCAGCACCCTCACAGTAAAATAAAACCAAGCCGAAACCTCCTGGCCTGGGAAGCAGCTTCAGGTCAGAGGATGCCCGTGGCTGGATCCAGGGTGATCTTTCTCCCCCCACCTTTTGCGTTCACCTCCGTCCTATCACCACGGAAGGTGCCTTTCGCCCCAGGCATGCAGCCGTCTTCCCTTCCTCACCCAGCTCCAGCGGCTCTTCTGGAGCCAGACTTGCTGCTCAGCAACGCTGAAAACTCCGGGGCCGGGTAGGACCCTTAGTGCCTCGGGGAGAGCGGCGTCTCCCCGCGGTACC